AAAAATAAGATGCATATGTTTAACTAACAAACATTAATAATTTTGAAAAAAAATAAATACAAAATATTATTAATAATTACATAAAAAGAAATTTAAAAATTATAAAAATTTGTTTTATAACAGAAAATAATTTTTTTTTATAAACATCCTGTTTGTTTCAATGAACTTCAAAACTTGTTTTCGCAGAATTTCAGTGAAATATATTTTGAAAACCACTAATAATTTTACTAACATTTTATTTTGTTTTCACATAAGTAAAATGTACTTAAGGAAATATAAAAGTTACTATTAAGCATAAACTTTTTAATATGGAAGATAAAATGAAGATTTATGAACGACTGGAGGATGTTTGGAGTTCATAAAATGTCGATTAATAAGTATTGAATCTTACATTGTCGGTGTATTTTTTTATTGTTCTATTAAAGTCTGCGTTTGTCAACTATAAATATACAGTATATACAATAAATATTTGTATTTTTTATATGATTATAAATATAGTAAAAATAAGTGCATAAACTTATAGACTACATTGGTTTTAATACTACTAGTATTCCACTTTACAACTAAAACACTTATAAGAACAATCCATTTATTGTGTGTAGGTACGCAATTGAAACGTCCTATTTGAATAAATGTTAAGGTAAATAAACAATAAAATATATATTTAATTAAAAAATAAATAAAAACGCCTAATTTTGTTTATGACATACGATTTTATTTTATCTTTAATTAAAAAAGATATACTTTTTATTGTCAATGAATCTTTATCGGATTCAATGTTCGTTATAATAAAGTTATTATTAATCATATTATCATTACCTAGATTCTAAATTTTATTTTAAAACTTTTTTTAGAATATTAGTCCATTCATTTTTTGATTAAATAAAATATTCATCTGTATAGATGAATACATTTGCCGACCCCAAGTATTGTATTTCAATGAAGAAAAAAATAAAGGAAAAAGAAAGGAAAAAAAAGTTACTATTTAGTGATCAATACATATATAATTACTTACAAAATAAAAATAACTAAAACATTTTTTTTTTTTTTTTTTTTTGTTTCTAGTATTTTTTTAGTCCATCCTTATTAAGGCTTTGGCTTAATTTTTTTTAATGACAACAGACATATTTGACTAACTTATAAAGTAGAAAATAATAAATATAAAAAAATGGCTGATTAAACTTTTGAATTAGTATTTCAGATTTACTATCATTTTAAAATATAGTCTGTTTGTAAGGTACAAATTATGACTATTTTTAAGTTATTAATATTTCTACATGAGAGAATAACCAGAAATGTCTTATGATATATATATGAAAATTATTCGAACTTATTTAAAATTAAATTAAGGGATGATTAATTAATGAAAATAGTTAAGTTCTTTATTATAAATGTTCCACTTTTCAGACATTTCTAAACAATTCCTCTAGTAGTAAATTTAGAACACTACTGTTGATTCATACATAGGAAATTTGTTTTACAACATTTTTGAGCACGTATATAACTAACAACAAAAACAATAATAATAGTAACATGCATAAATAATAATTTTGAAATTATTACTTAAATAACTTCCGGATTTTCAAAAAAGTTTAGAGTCAAAATTATAGCCTGCTAATGTAATGTCTGTGGATGTAAATAAAAGGATATTTTATTGGTGATAAATGTGGAAACATATGATTGCATTAATTTAGATAAATTTGAAAATGGAAGCAGTTTTTAATGCAATGGAATTAAATAATTAAATACGAATTTAAAGGTTTAGTTATTAATACAATTCTAGAAAGTGTTAAAAATAGATTAAAAATAACTGGTTATTAGTGGTTCTATCATTTTGTCTAAGTACGCTTGCAGCAACGCCATAGGCCAATACATGTACAACTAGATGTGATTTTAATATTCGATCCTTACTATACTATTATATTGTCGTTAAATTTAATTAAACACCAAGTTTTTCATAATACCGAAACGATTAGAAGAAATCGCATCAACGTATTTTTAAACATAAAATTCATCCATAACTATGACAGTTTTTTAATGACAGTTTTCATTGCATATATTTGTATTTTTTTGAAAGTTTATTTAAACATATATTTTTGATATATGATGATTATTATCTATGTTAAATATATGGAAATATATTTTTAATATATGATTTACCAAAATATAAATTTGGGAAAGATTCAATCATATGTTTAAAATAATGCATTTTTATAATTAAAATGTTACTCCAAAAAAGTTTTTTTTTATAAATAATTAGATTAGATAAGCGAAATTTAACGTAAACGTAATAGTCATTAATTTTACATTTCGTAAATTAAAAGTTTTTTAAAATAATTATTGAAATAAATTAGCCTAAAAAATTGAAAAATTGTTTACTTAAGCCAAGTTTATATAGTTTAGGATATAATATCACAAGCTATCTCAGTTAAATAATTTCGCATTTATAAATTATTTTTTTAGTTATTCTACAACAGTTTTGAATTATTTTTCAATAATTTAATTGGGATAACCAATAATGAAAAAAGTCATTTTTTTAGTTAGATTACAGCATTGTGGTTATTATTAATAGCCAACTAATTATTTTTCGGAAAGAATTTATTTTATTTCAGTATAATACTTAATGAATTGTCCATCTGCAAAAGGATGTTTGTCCGAAAATTTTTGTTTTTTTTAAATTTTATTTTGCTTTCTTCTAATAAAAGTACAAAAAACAATTTTTTGGACTTTTGTTCTTTTGAAACCTAACGGCTCATTTAGTATTATACTGAAATTTAAAATAACGAAAGAAATATATGAATTGTATCCTGTATAATTGTATCATATCTCTATAAAGATTTTGGACTTGGGATTGATATCTATGTCTTGCAGCAGTGGCTTATTTAGAGGAATGTCAGGGTGTTATGAAATCGTATAAAACAAGTGCTACCTAATTATTTTTTAATTTTTATTACACATTTTATCTAAATATTATACGACTAAGAAAAATTAACTTGTACATTACATCTATGAATTTGCCTAATAAACTTAAAAATATATCGTGCGCCAAACTCTTACTGGTCTTACTATAAAATATTAAATACTATATTTCATTGTATTTTATGGTAGAAATTTGAATATTTATTTTTTTTTCAAAAAAAAAAATAATAATAACAGCATAATATTATACTAGCTAACTTTATTTATATTTTAAAGTTATTATTCATTTTTAAAGTAACTCATAACTTAATTGGGTTTAATATTTTATTTTAATAACTTAATATTTTTTTTTAGATAACTTAACTTTAACAAAATGACTAACTTTTCCGACCTTGTAAATAATTAATACTATTATAAGTCAAATAAATCAAAATATATGTACTTAAAATTTTGGTGGAGAAAATAGTCCATTACTTCTCGGATAACACTGCAGGTGTCGACAAACCTGATACAAACTACAAACATAGAATACTACAATGTAATTAAACTTCTACTTCATCGTTAAGTGCTACAAAATATTTATACCTTGCGGAAATATTTAATTGTCTCATCATTCTATTATATGCGATTATATTGCTAAAGCAATACTGAACTAACGTATATTGATATATTGAGAGATTTCATTAAAACGTTATTTTTTTTTATAATCACGAAAACTATTATTATAAAAACACGATTGATGATTATTTTAATGAGTTACAACTATTCAATATGATTAAGAGAGTATATTTTATATTCTCTATAAAGTCTCATATAATTCTATACTATGTAAATTTATCGGCTAGCATTTTATTGTTTATAGTATCAATATAATATTTATTTTACATTTTTATAAAATGTAATATTATATTTATATAATAAAAATTGTTATATAATATTAAAATATTATTTAAAATTAAAAATATTAATTTAAAACTAAAAACGAAAGATATTAAAAATATTTAACTCAAAAAGCACAAAATATAACTAAAATATCACGGATACGTATTTTCGAACAATTTTAACATTATCAATGCTTTTTTAATTATTTTTTGTGGCTTTTTGAGTTAAAATATTTAAAATATTTTTTAGTTTTAAATTAATATTTTTGATTTAGTTATAATTTTAAATTATATTTATTTTCAAAAATGTTCATCAACTTAATTATTATTATTTTTTAAATAGTTTATAACTTAATTATTGCAATATACCTAGTTCATGAAGATTGAAATCGTAATTTTGTAGATAAGTTTAACTTCTATTTTATAGGAGCAGAAATTGTTTGTTATTATTAAATTAGCAACTCATGGTCTCAAAATAAAAAATGTAAACTAAAATGTATACTGTTTATATTTATCAGTTTGTGACACAGAAAAAATCTTTTAAAACTTGCTATAAAAAAACAGAAACAGTTGAATTTTGTGTTTTAAAAGTTAATCCTCGTAAAAGCTTACAAAAAAACTATAAGGTAATATGAATTTTTTAAATAAAAATCCTTCTAACTCTTGAATTGTAAATATTCCAGAATATCGGTATCGAGTGAATAGCTATGGGAATTTCCAAAGACATGTTATATTTTAAAAACAAGTCTATTTCAGTTAAGTAGATTCTTTTTATACTTTTTTTAGAAAAAGTTAAATTAAATGTATACTTGATTATAGTACCACCATATAGACACAGTCTGTCAAAAAATAATTATTTATTCATATATGAATTGTTCAAAGAATCATAAATATAATCTATATGTATGTATAATCATGAACATTTTTAATTCTACGAACTTATTTGTTGAAAAACATTTTTTAAGCAACTTCCCCTATTTTCTTAAAAGAATTTAAGGAAATTCAAATGTGCTAACGACATTATTGTCAAATTTTGTTTACGTTGGACACAATTAGTATTTTATGAGATTATGTGAACAATAAGTCAATTAGAAGACGAGAATTTAGTTGATATTTTCTTAAAACCATCTAAATATTTTTACCAAGGCTGATGAAAATTAGTTTGTTTTTGAACATTTAAAAACAAACATATATTTAAATGATTTTAGAGACTAATATATATATATATATATAAAGGCCGAGACTCAGTCAATTGTATCTAATAGTAAACAATTGTTGCACACACTACGATATAGTCTGTACCACACACATTGAAAATGCAGTACACAAAAGTAAGACAAATTTTATGATAAGTAATTTTAGTGTCGACTTATAACTTATATGTAATATTCAGGGGCAGACTGAGACCCCGACTTCTTGGGCAAGACATTTTTTAGGAGTATTTTTTTATTTTTCAATTCATTATGCCTATTCAACAAAAAAATGTAAATTAATTTTCTTTAAATAAACTCCAGTTAAACTATAACTCTAGTTTAAAAATAAAATTCCAGTTCATTCTGATATAATTTATATTTTGTAGTGTCATAGAATACTACGTAAAAAATATTTAATAAAACGTTTTGTCAATTATTAGTTTGATCAACATTTTCTATTTTAATGGCTAATGTTTTTTTTTTTTAGTTCAGATGAGAGATTGTTATTAGATAAACAGTAGTTGAATTGCTCCTGTGGTTAATTTTTTATTTTATTCCACCATAATGTCACTTTTATAATATAATAATATTATTATATCAGGTATTTATGATATTTCTGCGATTTATTTTTCTAGACAATATTTTTTATTATTTTCACTTCTGTTCTCTAAACATTAGTTATAACCATTACTATTTCTGATATGCATATAAAAAATAATTATGCTTCAAATGTTTGTTTGAAAAGTTTTATGAATGTACTACTATAGTATAATATATTATTTGTTACATACTAAATTCATCTTACATATACAAAAAATATTTTAGGTTGCCTTTATGCTTTTGGTTAGCGTTTGCTTGTCTTTAGCGAAACCCGAAAATTCTTTTTTTAAATATGGAGTTAATGATCCAAATACTGGAGATATGAAAGATCAACATGAAATCAGATCTCCAGACGGAAATAGCGTAAGTGGATACTACCGTTTGTTGGAACCTGATGGTCTTATGAGAACTGTAACTTACACAGCTGACCCTATAAATGGATTTAGAGCCGATGTAAAACATTCATTAGTCGATTCTCAATTAGGTTTAGATGCCAGAGCCTTTGAACCATTGGCATATCCAGCTTATATATAAAAGTCTGATATAGACGACCATTTGCTTGCGCAAAGTTCTTTGTTTATAACCTATAACTAAATATTGAATTTAATAAATAATGACTCAAAAAGTTATGACTATCAATAAAAATAAACTTTATGTGTATCAATTAATATAGTTGTAAGAAAAATATATTTTGTAATTTTATTTTACAACAATGTACTGTTTATTAATTATTCTGATTGTATTAAAATTTGTTGATAATATTTTCTATATGGTTTCAGTAATTTAAAATTTTGTTTTTTTTTTATCGCCATATCCTAATATTATTTATATGTCGAGGTACTAAAATATAACACTAAAATAAATAGTTCAAATTTTGATAAATAACTATCTTAAATATTGCATAGAACTAGGTATATTATTAAGTTATTTTCTAGTTTATGTATACAGGGTGGCCCACCACTCACTGACAACTTAAATAACTTTTGATCCAGTTAATATTTTTAGTTGATTTTTTTTTTAAATAATAGTTAGACGTTAGGTCTATAGCTACATCTCAATAATTAATTTTTTTACATTTTATTAAAAATATTAATTATTTTTAAATTTTAAATAAAATGTAAAAAAAAAATCTAAGATAGCTATTTTGTAGAGTAGAATTTAAGAAAAATTTTAGTAAAAAAATATCTTATTAATATTCAGTAGTAAATATTCTGTAGCGTTTAGAAGTTTGTAAAAATTTGAACTTTCATGTACTATTTTATGGTTATAAACATTGAAATACGTATTGAGAAAAGGACAGAAGAAAACGCTATCTTTTCAATATACTTTTGAATGAGAGTGATAAGTAATAATTGCCTTATCTAATTTCTTATCATGGTATTTATGCCAAGTTTGTAATGTATACACACTATCATCATATGTATACACAGTAATCATGAAAAGATAGCGTTTTCTTCTGTCCTTTTCTCAATACGTATTTCAATGTNTGTAAATATAAAATTTAAAATTGCTTATATGTTAACTTGAACTATAAGTTTTTTATGACAATTCAATAAAAAAGTACTATACAACTTGATACACGAAATACAATATTTTTTAATATGAGTTAGCGAAAAAAATTTTCACCTCTCTTAATAATTGACTCTAAATTAAAAACAAATATAATTTCATTAATCCTTATTATGACATTGGATTTACCTCGCAAACTTTAGATTAAAAGTTTTTGGATTGTGATATTTTTATAAAATTCACTTATAACATTGAATGGCCATAACTCCTTTATTTTAAACTTATAATATGTTAAACAAAAATAACATTTTGTTGGCTAAGTAGTTGTTCAACAATAACTCTAACAAATTTAACACATACAGAACAATCTCTTCTCATAGAAATTTCGATATTTCAAAATTATCAGTATAAAGAAGAATAAAAAGTTGATGGAGAACTCTGTTGATTAACATTTGAGTCAGGCAAAGCGTTATAATTAGTAGGAGTATTTTTAAATGGCAATTTGTGTTGTCGGTAGAAATCGGTTTGAGCCCATGATGGTACAATTGGTTGCTGTTGCCATGCATTGAATTGGTGAGCGTCGTTGTAATTTGTTAATTTCATTGTTGGTTCAGTCGGTTGAAAAACTGGAGTAGATTCCATTGTCGGGAGATCAGGTTTTGGGATTGATGGAAGAGCACTCTTTGATGACTTTTCGCGTTTTACATCAGCACTAAATCCATTGACAGGGTCTGCTTTGTAATAGACTGTACGCACAAAACCATCAGGATCATTCACACGGTAATATCCAGAAACAGTGTCGCCATCTCTAGTTTCTTGCTGATCCTTAAGATCACCAGTTTTTCCGTCACTCACACCATAAGCAAAACCAACTACATCGGCGTATGCAAAGCAAACGCTAAATGAAATGAATATTACAACCTAAAATAGTGCCAAGTCATTTTTTAATTAAGGGCGCCAACATTATGTTTCAAATAGCAACATACATAAATAATTAGCTTACAAAAAAAAAAAAAATGATCTAATTATGAAAATTACTGGTCGATAACAACTATTGGACCAGCATTTTGGAAGTTATTGACGTGTTTATACCTACACAGGACGAAGTGTACGGCTGGTAAACTTTAGTAATAAAAGTAACCATATCTCATTACTAGCATAAATTATAAAATTTTAATAATTTCTAAAAAGTTATTAATGGGCAGTCATTCTTTAAATTAAATCATTATCTATTAAATAAGCTATGTATGTTGTAATTCGAAAAAATAAAATTGACATCCTTATAAGGTATAAGTGATGAAAATAAAAAATACTTTAATAATGATTGATTAATTGGAAAACATGTACCTAAAAGAAACCAAATAGAAAATATTCTTATTGTTATATTTAATTTTTAGTTAATTAAATGATTCTTAAAAAACGAATCACTATGAATATTGTGTTTTATCTCAATTTCTTAATTAAATTATAAATAATTTATGAGTGCTGTATAACATCTCCATTATATTGTTATGTATAAGTAAAATATAAAAAAATAATATTTACATTAAAAACTTACTTTAAATCCATTCATTATAATGTCCAAATTTATTAGGTATAAAAAAATGAAGACCAGATAAAAACCAAAAAATAAATGTAATAAAATGAGTTTAGCGAAGGCATTTTATAGCAAATATTTACATTTCTCTCCCCAACTATAACAATTTTAAAAGACTACACTAATTTCAATATTGTCATTTCATAATTATGTAACATTTTTAATACACCGATCAAATAAAATAACAAATTTGAGCTGTTACAAAAGATATAAAACTAGAACATTAATGACAAAAATTTCAAGATTATAAGTTGTGTAAAGATTAAAATTATTTTTGCCGCAGGTTATCATATTTTAATGAAACAAAATTTAAATATACAATATAAATTGTTTTACTACACTAAGTATTATGTACAGTACAGTTTTGAATGAAACAATAATTAGCTTATTTTGTAACGAAAAATAAATAAATAAAACATTTAAAAATTGAGTTATTTTTGAAAATGTACACTCTACATTTAAAATCTAATATCACATAAAAAAAAAAAATGAATTATACACATCTCTTTTTTACTTTGCTTCTTTTCTAAAAAAAAATAATAAATATTATTAATTTGATTAATACATTCTTCCTTTTTCGGATATAAATTGTTCAAAATAGTACTTACCAAAGTTAACATAAGAATTGAAGTCTATTGAATTAATTTTAAAAACAAACATACCGTGTTTTATCGTTGCACTGTTTTTATTAAAAAAAAATATTCATACAACTGAAAATGATCTTTGAATAATCATTATAATAAGTTTTTTTTCAAGTAAAAAACAAATAAAACTCAAAACTAATAAAGTTCTTGTTCTTGCTTAAAATACATTTCGAGAAAATTATTAAATCATTATTTTTTAATCTTAATATTTTTTTCAAAAAGTACTCATCTCAATTTTTTAATTTTAATTAAAAAGTGAAAATTTTAAATTATTTGATGTTAGTTACAAATATTTGAGAAAAAATATCATTTATAACTTTTATACAAAATATTCGTATCATTCCATAAAGAACAACGATTAAAACTTTTTCTATAAATTTATACAAATTGAAAAGAATATTTATTTCAATTGGCTTCAAAAAGATTGGACAGAATTTTAGGAAAAAAATGACTGTTGGAAATATTTATAACACATTTTAGTAATCTTAGGCACATGAATTTAGTAATATTTAAAATAGAAGTGTATAAATTGATATATTTATATCTATACAAAAATAATTTTGTACAACTTTACAAGAGAAATATTTTTTAAAAGTATTTTAAAATAAATTTTTAATTATATACTTTTTAAGATAAAATGTAATTTCATTTAGGTAAAATAACGTAAGAAATAACGCGGCTTGGTGCTCAAGAAAAATTATTCAATCATGGCTGACAGATTTATAAAAAACTTTGAAATAATTTTGTACTAGTTTGTGGTTTCAAGGATATTGTTGTTTATCTATACGTGATATAGTTCATGTAAAAATTACATATCATTGATTTACCCTAGTGGCCTGATGTGAGCATCTTATTATATAAAATATAACTTAATAAATTATAATAAGTAAAAATAATATTATTAACAACAAAGTGTTTTGTAATAAGTTGGTAGTATATATATATATATATATATTATAAGATGAAGTTTTATAAAAAAAACAAATTAATAATTATTAAATAAATTTATAACTTTTATTCTAATAAATCTTTTGGTATTAATGTGTCATCATTTTTATATAAAATAAAATCTGTATTAATATCGTTAGTTTTGTATAAATTATATTGATATTGAGGTAATTCAAAAATTGGACTTCCAACGTAATAGTAAGTATATGGTAAAGGGGCAGATTTTGATATTGCTATATGTGGTTGATGTTCAATGTTCGTTGGAGTGACCGGTTTTGAATTAATCGAATATTGTTCATCTGGGACATTAGCTTTAATTTTTATAGCTGTTTTATATGCAAAAACATTACTGATAAGGTAGAGAATCAACAAAGGCAAGAAAACCTTAAATAAGAAATTCAGATCACGATTAATGACAAAAAAAAAAAAAAAATTATTAATTAGATTTGAAATAAATAATAATATAAAATTTTTTTATTTATAATCAGTGTATGCTTGTTATAAGTTTTTACTCTAAATAAAATATTTAATTAAGAAATGATGGTTTAGATAATCAAATTAAAGTATTAATTAAATTAGTTTAATTGAAAAAAAAGAAACTCTTTTAATAAATATATATAATTAAAGTATGAATATAAAATTATTAGTTAGATTTTAAGTCTTACTTTACTGAGATACATAGTTGATTAAATAGTATTATCGACAATTCTTTAAATAACAATTTAAAAAAGTGTGTATTTTAACGTATAAATAAAATTAAGTGACTTGCCTTAAAGTTTTGAAATACTGACAAAACATAATAGTGTTTCTTTATTTTGTTTTTAAAACGAATTACCTTCAAATTACTAATATTGCCTGTACTTAATGAGTCGTGAATACTAGTTTATTTTATCAGTAAGTTATTTAGTGTCTACATTTTAAGATTATCAATCTAATTAAAATATTTTACAACAAATGAAAAAATGATAAGAAAAATCGTTTTGTACGTACTTAAGTTTAATTTATACCTATGAGCTTTTAAATAAAAACCTATAAAAACATAAAAAGCTCTTAAAAGATAAATTCCAAATAAAAATATTTTTACCAAGATTTAGTGATAACAGAAAAAACCCGTTTAAAAGATAATCGGTGGTGTATTCTTATGATTAATAGCTACTTTTATATCTACTTTTATTTGAACACTAATTAAAACAATTGTTTAAATTAATAAGATGTACAATATGACAGGAGTTTCTTTTGTAAATTCGAATATAATTTTTTAGTTCCCTAACCAAACATTAATAAGATACAGATTCGTTTTCTTGAAAACAGTTCATCGGTGTGTTCATATGAGTTATGTCATAGCATTATTAATTTTCATGTGACATTTACAGTAGTTAGGATATTTAAAATGATTTATTATTATTATATTAGAATTTTTGCTTTGATACAGAATAAAAATTACCGCATTCTAATATAAACAATTTTAGACAACGTTATATACAATTATTTAAAACTTTACAGGTAGACAAAGGGATACCTTACTTTAATGATTTTGTATTTATATAAAATGTATTAACTAGAAGTATTTTTTTTTTTATGAAAAATTTGTATTTATTAATGTACTGTTGATAAAAAAATTTGATATGTATGGGAAAATAAAAAGGTACCAAAGAACCCCCATGACATAATGTTGATCTTAACTATTGACTCATTTTATAATTTATTAAAACTATTTTTTTTTAACTGATGATGAAAATAAAAAATACAAAATACATGATGAATAAAGGTGATTCAAAAGAAAATAAATAAAAAAATCATGTCATAGAAAAATTATTTTTATTTAAAAATATATTTATAAAAAATAAATTGGATATGGACTTCAAAATTGAATACTAACATAATTATTTATTATTCAAATAAAACGTAATAGAAATTTACAAACTAATCAAACATAAAAATCTTTATTTTTTGAGTAAATCAACTGGTTCTACGTACGAACCGAATGTTTTTAAGGGAGCAATTAATCCAGTTTTGAGTGATGGCAAGTAAGATCCGTGATATGGCAATGCTGGAATTGCAGACTTAGCCCATGGATAGTAAGACGGTAAAATGGAAGATTCGACGTAAGGATAAGCGTGAGATACAGTTTTGGCTAATGGATAATATGGGGACGGTAAAATAGATGGATATTCAGTAATGGCGGTTTTGGCATATGGATAATAAGGAGTACCAATCATGGATGAAGATGAGGAGTAATAGCTAGAGAATGGTGCAGCTTTGTATATAGCTGGAATTTCGTAGCTGTGGAATGATGGCAATTCGGTTTTGTATACAACAGGTTCTACAGGAGCTACTGGTGCCGCAACTGATGCTGGTTCACGTTTGACATCAGCAGTGAATCCATTGAAAGCATCAGCTTTGTAATCAACAGTTCTCATCAAACCATCGGCATCTAAGGTGCGGTAAAATCCAGATACAGCATCGCCAACTTTAACTTCGTGATGTTCTTTATGGTCACCAGTCATAGGATCGTTGACTCCATAAGCAAAGCTTGAAGTGGGTATTTCTTGGCCAAATACGGCACAAACAAATGCAGAGACGAATAAGAAAACCTGTTCATTAAAAATAGTAGTTAAAAAATAAAAATAAATGAATACGATAGAAAAGTGTTTAATAATTTTACAAAAATACTTCTAATAGAACTACTAATTACGTATAAATGATAAAAAAAATATTACATACTTGGACAGACTTCATTTTCCTTGTAATATTAATATTCAACTGAAATATTCAGAATGCAATTATTGTTACAATTTACAGTCTTATTTATGCTCATTTTATTTACACCCACTTATTTTTTCCAAAAAACCATCAAGTATATCATGACAATTGGAATAGCCGCATTATTTCAAAATTCTAAATAAAAATATTCAGTCAAGGAGCGAGTTGTTAAGCAAAATTATTATACATTTCAGATTTACAAAGGGTAGCCCTTAGGCTTATATATTAAATTTGTATAAGTAACACATAATACTAAATTATGTTCAAAAACTGCCTTAGGATTTAAAACGCGTATTTTTATTTAAAACTGGTATATAATTGTAATATATTTCTTGTAAAACAGTTGACTATAAAATTACATAAATCGTGTACATATATTTTTTTTTAAGTATACAAAATATTATAACTTATGGAATTTAAAACATAACCTTCATTCTTCAGGTGTTCTATTTTAAAATAAAATGATTAATTAATATGCATTAATAATACAGAAAGCTTTGATACAAAATGGAAATTTCCATTATTTTAAATTAATTTACGGAGAAAATTAAATAAATATTATGACTTAGTTATTTAGCGAAAACTATAATTTTACAAGTGCAAACGAAATTTAGTAACAAAACTCAACGTATTTCAAATTACTGTAAAATGGTCTTTCTAAAACGAAATGTTTTTAGACGTATACGATTAACAACATTCTGTTTAGTTACTTAAAAAAAAAAACCCAGCACAGTGGGGTCGCGGCATAGTGGGGATGTTGCATAGTTGGGTCCAGTATAGATTTAATCTGACAGTGATTAAAATCACTATCATAAGAAACGCTTCGATGCAAATCAGTAGATAGTGTTTAATTCTAAGAAATTGGTGGATAATTACAAAAGCTACATTATCTGCTAGTTTCTTATTAATACCCTGATTAAGATAAAGTATGTCGAATGAAAAAGGGATTATTAAAAAATATTATTTCTCATAAAAAAATTGTGTTGATTCGTACACTTTTCAATGAGTTATAGCATTATAAAGTTAAAAATGTAACCAACCCAACCCAACATCAACTCCTATTTCCTTAATTATATCCAGATTAGTAATTATTTTAATTATATATTATATAATTTTTATAATTAATTATTTTCAAATTATTATTGATTTTTAATATGTTAAAAGTAATCATTTTGAACCTACTTCTTTTTGTTCTTTAAAGTGAAAGTTTTAATAAAAAAAAAATGAATTTATTACCATAACTTTTAACTCAACTTGCAAGTTTGAAATAAATATTATTAAATAGAAAAAAAT